GACCACGCAGTGATATGCCATTGCGTGGCAATTAGTTGGACGCGATATGGCAGGCAACGCTTACAATGCGCCTATATGTCATCGCCCTCTCTGCCGCCCCCTACAGGAGGGCGTCCACAGTCCGGGTTCGGCGCCCCTTGTTCGCCCCCTGTCCCGGCCCCTCCCCTGCGCCCCCAGCATGCCCAGGAGGCCGTGGGCGGGGCAGCTCGACCGGCCGGCTATTTGTACTCACCGGCGTGTAATGAGGGGTCAAGAGCCCCCCCCCTCCGCCGCAGATGGATAGGCGGCGCGCTACATTTCGCGGAATGCGTCGCGTGCCGCCGGTGCACGCCCCCCGGCAGCCGGCGACGACTCATTGGGGCCGGCTGGTGCGTTGGCTGGCTGACTGGGGTATATCACGGCAGCCTGTCCCCGTCCAGTCCAGTCCGACGGCGCCAGCGACCCATCTATGGTCGGCTCCCGTCCTCCCCTCCCCCTCCCGGCGGCTCCCGTCCTCCCGCCGGCTCGCGCCGGTGGCTCGCGCGCGTCGTCACGCGCGGCGCGCGGGTAATGACGCCCGGCCGGCTGACAGTGACGAGACGCGGGCAGACGCCAGCGGCTGTGGTGTCGCCTGTCGTGACGGTAATGACGCCCGTCAGGTCGCCGCCGCCGCCGACATCGGCCGTCGCGCGGACGCACGCCCCCACTCTGAATGGCGGCCACTCTCGCCGGGGAACGGTGGCGGCGGCGATGGCGTCCGGGCGCCGGTGCCGGTGGTGACGTGATGACGCCCGCTCGCATGGCGCCGGTGGCAAATTGACTGGTTGTTCGCGGCGTTCTTTCCCAATGGGATTATGCAAATTATGATTGGGGTTCTCAAATACCTATTTGTCGAACCGTTGTGCGTTGCCTTATATCTGTATCTGATTTCACAGCTCCAGTGGCGTAACCAAGAAGGGATTTTGGGACCAAAATTCCCCCTGCCCTCCCGGACGTGATGAAGCCTTTGGGGCCGAAGACTTTGGGGAGTTTAAGACGCCCGTGGGTTTTTAAAATATGAAAGCGCGCCTTCGTGACATCAGAATAGTATCCCAAGCCTATAATGTCTCTCAAATATAAAAACAGCCACCCCTCTAAGGCGACAAAGTGGTGGCCTTTGGCTGAAAGCCCCCTTTACCACGATTTGTTCCCTCCTGAGCGAATTCCTGGCTACGCCACGGCGTACCTCTTGCAAACCTCGGTATGCACGACAGCGACGTGATGTTGCTTCAGAACTTTTATTTTTATCGATTGTGGCTTAGAGGCATGTCGACCACGGTGATTACTTGCTGCAGGAAGATTTGTGATATGCATTTCTGCTGTAAACATCTTCCTCACTCCGAAAATATCGTGCATCAGAGCAAATGATAGTCGCGGAAGTTTACTCGCCATTAGTGAATGTTAACCGCGTGTAGGGGAGCCTGCAGTACATCGTCGCTATCGAGCCAAACTGGTCTGTTTGGAAGCCGTTCATGCGTCCCAGCGTTCTATGTCCTAGTTGAAGACATCTCAAAATGATTGTATCCGTCTCTCCGCATATCATTCTTGGGAGTGACAAGACGTGAGTGAAAACCCGAGCTTCTGATTTGTTACCTTAACGAGCAACGCGTGGGATGAATGGAGCCCAACCGAATGCTTCTCACAGCGCTTACTTCTCACTTCCTGCCATCATTAATAGCTGTGCAGGTTTCCTTTGTAATAAGTAGTTACATATGTGAGCCACATGACCACATGACTCCGTTGTTTTCGAGAACTCCCGTTTCTGATCTTGACATGGAGCCCCGTGTCATCCTCCATTTTAACACGGTTCGCCCGACATATTCAAGGTTGTGGATTATTAACAGCTGTTCACAGTACCGGAAATCGGAAACCTTACACTCTTCCTAGTATGACGGCATCGAAGCGATCACGGGTGCCCACAAGTTTTTCTCGTTATATTCTAGAACGAGCCAAAAGTTTCGACTGGAAAGTAGGTTTCCAACACCACCAACTGCTGAACAACTGAAATGTCCCTGATATACAGAGCTCTTTGTCCTCGGTCATATCACCCTATGGCCAAAAACGCTACCATAACCAAAGTACCGCTTCTGCGCGCACGCCCCCCCCCCCCCCCGGATGTCGTAATCTAAGTTAAAACGGTGCAGAAGCATCGCAGCGGAACATAGCAGAGGCGCAGCAAAGAGGGCTAGTCGGAGACAGGGCTAGACCACACGACCACGCAGGCAGGGCTAGACGCAGAGAGGGCTAGTCAGAGACACGCGCCCGTCCCTCCGGCATCGTTCTCTATTTTATACCAGAGATGAAGCCCCATAGAAAGTTAAAAATATGCGTGATGAGTGCTCATCGAGCTGACCCCCCGCCCCTTGAGTGCGACCTGCGCCCGGGTACGACCTGTAA